ATATATATATATATAATAAATAGATGATTATATTACAAGCGTAAAATCGTTTTCACCAACATGAAGACCATGCTTTTCCAAACAAAAAGACGTGTTTTCTTACCTAAAAACGAAAAAATATAACATATATTGCCTGCAAGATACGCATTTTACAGCTGATAAGGAAAAGATCATTCGTTCAAACTGGGGAGTAGACTGTATTTTTAATTCATTTAATTCAAATTATAGGGGAACTGCTATACTTTTTAATAATAACTTTGAATATCAAGTCTTACAAGAAAGAAGGGACGTAAATGGTAATATATTAGCCTTAGATATGCGAATTCAGGGAGAAAAATAACTTTAATAACATTATATGGACCCAATACTGACAAACCGTCTTTTTATGATGACATTTTTAATATAATAGAAGACATGGGAAATAAAAAATATATATTGTGTGGAGACTTTAATATGATTTTCGATCCTAAATTAGATTGTGATAACTATAGAAATATAAATAACCCAAATGCAAGAAATAAAGTTTTGGAATTGAAAGATAAATTTGGTTTAATTGACACCTTTAGAGAAAAGAACCCCGAGACCAAAAGATACACATGGCGTAAGAAAAACCCACACAAACAAGCAAGATTAGATTATATCTTAATATCAGACGGTTTACTATCAAGTCTCACATCTTCAATAATTGAACCAGGTTACCGCTGGCTTTATTCCTGGTAGATATATAGGAGAAAACACACGCTTGATTTATGATGTTATGCAGTATACAGAAGATAATAATATACATGGAGTATTACTTTTAGTTGATTTTGAAAAAGCGTTCGACTCTGTGTCATGGAATTTTTTCAATAAAACTTTGAAGTATTTTAATTTTGGCCCGAACATTATCAACTGGATAAAACCTTTTCAGAACAATACACACTCAGCAGTAAATATAGGGGGGATCTATCAAACATTTCAATATAGAACGGGGCTGTCGTCAGGGGGATCCGATATCTTCATATATTTTCATTTTATGTACTGAAATTCTATCAAAAAATTTGAAAAATGATATAAATATCAAAGGAATACTTATCAGGGAAAAGGAAATTCTCTTATCACAATTTACTGATGACACGTCTGTTATTCTAGATGGTTCAAAAAAATCTTTAGATGAAACATTAAAAGCTCTTAACTAATTTGCTAGTATTTCTGGACTAAAAATGAACTTCTCCAAGACCCAAGTAGTATGGATTGGCAGCAAAAAATACAGTGAAATCACTTTTACTACAAATTTTGACTTAAAATGGGGAAGTACACGCTTCACCCTATTAGGCATAGAATATGATGTAGACCTACACAGAATTATCAAACTGAATTTTGACAAAAAAGCTTGCAAAACTGAAGTCTTTAATATCTGTCTGGAACAAAAGAATACTTACACCAATAGGAAAAATAGTTGTTATCAAAATTCTACTAATGTCTAAGTTTAATCATTTGTTTATATTGCTTCCCAATTCGGATGACTTATATATTTAACAAATTAACAATACATTGTACAATTTTCTATAGAATGGTAAACCAGATCAGGTAAAAAGGGAAATAATTATAAAAAAAAACTATGAAGAAGGGGGGCTTAAAATGATACATCTAAAATCTTTCATAACTGCGCTTAAAGCAACTTGGATCAGAAGGATATATAGGAAATTGGGGTATTGTTGTGGAATCGCTATTTGATAAACAGAAATTAGCAAATATT